TCCTCTCAGACGTGTCCTTCTCCGGCGGCGTTCTCGCCGGTGACACTCTCCCCTTTTGGAAGGGAAGTGGATGGACTGCAAATAAGGGTGGGGCGGCGGGAGAAATAACCCCGGCGGGACTTGAACCCGCAACCTTCGGCTCCGGAAACCGACGCGCTTCCATTGCGCCACGAGGTCCATAAATTGTCGTATTGCATCATCAGGTTGACTGTCGACATCGGAGCCTCTCCCGGCACGAAATTGGGGACGCATTCGCCCGTGCCCCCTCTGCTGCTGATAACTATGATGGCGACGCTGGACTGGACGAGTCAGTGTCTGTGATTGACTTCGACCCAGACAACGATGAACCTCTCTCTGCTGAGGTATCTTTGGAGACTAACCTAAATCAGTGGTATGTTTGCTCTTCAGAAATGCGACGAAGTGCTTTCGGAAATCGTCAGCCAGACGGGATGCTCGATGGGTCACTCCCCGGCGTCCACCCCTGGTGGGTCTCCTCGGACCTTGTTTGTATCTTACCAAGTAGAACCTTTATATTCTCTTTCAGGTTCTGATTGGGATATCTCCGATTTTAATCCGCTCCTGATTGAGAACCATGACAAGTCTTTGACTGTTTTCCTGCACAGCGGCATCACGGGAGAGCTCGTTGCAAAGTACATACATCCAAATGAGCGTTGGTGACAGATCTAACTCTTCAGATTTGTGATAGAACTCGCTGACAAAGAGTCGATTGAGCAACTCTATACGGCGTTGGAAGAGTCTTTGCAACGAGAATGCGGCTTAAATTTATCCGAGACACATTGGGTGCGTGACAACAGGAAGATCAGATGCGATAAGAGAATGCTCATAGCGGCACTGGCATCCGTAAGAGTGGACCTATTCTGTATCTTCCGCTCTTGGACCTAAGATTCGTCATCTTAGTCGGGTCATTGTGAGCTCCGCCTGTGTACTGTTCCGAAGACCCCTCCGGCCGAGATGGACGTTTACATGTCTACAAATTCCGAGCGCATTCGGTTGAAGTCGCTCGCGCCTCACACTCTCTCGCCAGACCGCATAGCGACGCTTTACACCTGGTAAGTTCCATACTATGTTACCGAGTATGCTATCAGCCTGTCTGTTGTTTCTGCGTCAAAAGCAGCCATTTACGATAGTGGTATTTTTCCATGCTTTCTTGCGGAGGGGCGTGGGTTCGAATCCCACGTAGGTCTTGTCTTACCTCATCTCCTACGTAAATTTCTATTGTCCATGGTTGATGATTTTCACTCCAAGTCGCTCCGTGCGGTATATCTTTGTTGTTCCCGATTCAGTCCTCTTCGTCGACGGCTCGACTACTCTGTCGTATTGGTATCACAGATGGATTCGGGCAACTCATGTTGGCTGTCGGGGAAAGCCCTCTCTATTGATTATAAAGGAGTGTCATTCAGTTCACTCTCACTGTGGCTCAAGTCAAGAGTTTGCTT